ATACGACCTCTCTCTCTCTCTCTCTCTCTCTCTCTCTCTCTCTCTCTCTCTCTCTCTCTCTCTCTCTCTCTCTCTCTCTCTCTCTCTCTGTTATTTAATTGTGCTGTCCATTTAACACCGAACTAGCGTCCAAACACTGAATACAAAATCATATCTTAAGAACCTGGCATATAAATCGTTGTCCTGTGAAATACATCAGTTGGTCTGTGCAAAGTCTACAGCGATGTGTTAAAAACCAGTAAGTCCAGGTATTGTTGAATGAAACATTCAGCTTTCTACTTTAATTTGTTGTATCACTTTTATTGATCCTTGTCCCGTCTTTCATCCTCTTTTTCATCAAGTAGAAATCTTAGACATTTCCACGTTGTAATGCTTTTCTCCTGCGTTGTATCCCTCTCTGCCCGGGTTCACCTTGAAAGGCAGGTTTAAAGCCCACCTCCTAAATTATATAAATCATGTCGACCGGGGGGGGGGGCGTTAAAACACCTGCATTTGAAAAGAACAAAACTTGTAATTCACGAATGTAGGAAAAAAAAGAAAAAAGGCTTTTTCTCAATGTTTACGTAAAGGCACTTACTGGGTCTCACCGTTTTTTAAAGGAACAGTCAGAGGTTATGGCGCCACCCCACCCCCCAACCACCTCATCTAAACTCCTGCTTCCGCTTGTCTCGTTACCAGGCAACGGCTACATCCGGCTGGACTATGTGATGAAGAACGTGACGAAGTACCGCGGCCAGGCAGTTCGCATCCGCTGCGAGATCACGGGCAACCCCATCCCCAACTACAGCTGGTACAAGGATGACGTCATCATCAACAATGACCCCAGCGACCGCAGGATGGGACACAAACCCACGGCCTGGGGTTCTAGGTGAGCGCGCTATCATACTGCACGATATTAAAAATGTTGGTGTTTTTTTTGTCGAGGTTTTTTTTTTTTTATTTAATTTGTTTGGGCCTTTTGGGTTTGTGTGTTTGTTTGTTTTTTGGGCGTTCGAGGGAGGAAAAAAAAGGAGGGGGGGGGGTTTCCTTAATTCAAGATGTCAAGCTTTCGTTTAAGTGCTTTTGCGGGTGTTTAAAAATGTGGTTTGTATATTCGTTTTTAGGGAGGGTGGTTGGGGTGTATTTTGTCTTATTTGGGTCCGTGTTTGTGTTTTTTGGGTTTGAGGTGTTTTTTTTAAAGAAGGGGGATATTTGTTTGTTTTTCTTTTTGGTGATTTTT